TTGGTTATTCGGTTTGGGATTTAAGTTTACTCCATATTAAGAATTTATGACAAATTGGAACCGGAATTTCGTTTGGTTCAATTTGCTGGACATAAAGCTCATAAACCGGGTTATATATGATTTATAAACCAATTTCGGTTTATCTCTACCCATACTTTTATGACTTAGTGAAATGAGTAAACCAAGAATGAGTTTAGGACTGACCATGGACTAGCGAGTGGACTACCCAAGTAAGAAGAAATGGTTGACCAGTCGAGTCCTATGGCTCCAACACCTAACCCGTGAAGACCGGACCCGATCTGTTGGGCCATAACTGATGATGGAAAGAACCAACAGACCCACGACAACGACGTCATGATCTGAAATAAGTAGCCCGGAAAGACATAATAAGCGAAACTGCAAACGAATGCTATCACGAAGAATTGTGTACGTGTCAGCCCTCCTTTGGTCCGTTCTTCTTTTTCGTGCAACGCTCTGACAATTTAGCCAACGACAACATCAATGTGTTAGATATAATCATAATAGAATTATGTCTCTTTTTGTTTGTTAAAGGATAGTGACATATATGTCTCTTGCTTCTACATGTGGTTTTATGTTTTCTATTTATTGACCAATTTCATTAGATTCAACAAGTAACAGTTATACAAAAATATCATTCATTTGTATAACTTACACCATATAAATAAGAAAATATAAATAAGAAAAATGAATACTCCCTCCGTTTTCGAATAGTTGTCGTTTTAACTATATGCACACAAATCAAGAAATTATTAATGTTGTTAGTTTTTCAATATAAAAATATCATTAATTATCTACCTAAACATAATTTAACCAATAGTAAATCAAGTTGCATAATAAAAGTAAATATAAAAAATAAAAAAGTAATAAATTTTGCATCGAAAACTGAAAACGACAACTAATTAAAAAAAAAAAAAATTCTCTAAAACGACAACTATTCGAAAACGGAGGGAGTATATGTCTAACAGTTACGTACAAAAATGTCTTTATCTGAAAAAGATATCATGATGTTTATTTTCGAAGACATCTGATAAAACTTGGTCCCATGATATTTTTTTAGTATTAACATCACATTCTATAGAAACCTAATAACTTAAAAAAATAAAAATTTTAATTATTTTCTCACTTACTTTAAACAAAAACAGTATATATATGACCATATTACAACGAAACATATATGTCTCCATATTATATTCAAAGATTAATTTTGTATTATTTATAAATATAAAAATATTTAAAAATAGGTGGGAATGGAATATTTTATCTAGTACTGTATTTATTATTGTATGGCATCTTCAATTTTTATGACATTTGGCCAAAACACAATTATTTTGCCCCCTTTACTTTTGTATGTATTGTATATAGAAAATATCGAAAACTTGAGCTAAAACGTGAAACACACTCTAGTGATTATTGAGTGTATTATTTACCTAAATAGTGAGACTTGAACAAGATTCGCCGGCCACCACATCGCCGCCGGTTCAACGAGGTATTTCCTGAATATTCCGGCCCAACCAAAACCTAAAACCTAAACATCAATCACACTTAACTAATCAGAAACCATAAACTCGTTCAAACTCCAAATATTCCAAGAAAAAACTAATCAAAAAGGTCAAGTACGAACTTGAGTGGTAACAATAACGATGAAAGACACAAAGAACGTTATGTTCTTCATGTAAAACGCTTTCACGACAGTAACAACGTGTATTGCGTAAACAGATCCAGCTCCGGCGTTAGCGAAAATAGTGATCAACACATGCTCCTTCACATTAAACGGTCCTGAAATAAATCAAGAATGGTTCAAAATCAGTTTTTGGATGGTCTAATGGTTATAACCATTTCCATTTCGATTTCACTCATAGTTAGACGTCTTAAAAGACAAGAATATTCGAGTTTTGACGAATCTCGGGAAGATTTCTGTCTAACAAAAAAAAAGCCAAATTCTAGAGGTGGTCGGTTCGAGTGACACTTGGGACGGGACTATATAAAATGTTCTGGCCTCTGGTCCGAAGGATATACGGGCTTAGACCAAGAATCTCCTAGTTATTAAAAAAAAAAAAAAGGTCAAATTTTGGTGTTACCTGGATTCAACGTGAATTGCCACTTTGATCCTTGGAAGAAGACTCTATCGGAGATTTTAGCAGCCATAAGACGACCAAGTGGTACGACGGCGATTTGAGCGGAGATGGCGGAGATAGTGAGAGGTTCTGTTCTATACCAGAAGAATTGATTGAGAAACGACAAGAGGATGCCAGAAAGAGTTCCTAAAACCCACATGCGAAATGTTAAGACAGGTAATGAAGGATCGTCTGTTGTCGGAACAGTGAGTGCTACTTGTCGGATTGGTGAGTTCTCTTCTTCTTCTTCTTCTTCGCCGGAGATTGGTAAAAGAAGATCCTCTGTTTCATCTCTTGGTTCCGATGATGAAGATGATGAGGCAGAAGATGGGTTTGTCAGATCTTTGGGGTTTGTTACTGTTTCGAAAAATGTTTGTCAGAACAATTGAAATTATAAGAAAAATATTTAAAAATTGAGAATTGTTATTACATAGAGGAAGAACTAGTTCTGATTCTTCCATGGTTGTCTTCTTCTTCTTCTTCTTGCTCTGTTTTTTTTCTTTGAGATGTGAATCTGACAAGCTATCTTCTAGTCTTCTTCACGTCTTGAAGAGTTGGCCCATTTGAAATAAGTACCTGGACTATATTTTGATTAAATCTCTCTTTTTTTTCTGTCAACGGATTTTTTTTTAATGACAAGTTGGATATAATTAATTAATACAACTAATATCCAACAACTGTCATATTTTCTTCTTATTTAATTTTTGACATTTATTACTCTCTTTTTTAAAAAAATCAGACAAAAATTATTGTATATTTTTCCTCAATCTTTCGTTTAAGCCAAGACTTTTTTTGTCATTTTATAAAAAGCCAGAAATTTCTACATAAATTTAGCTATTAACTCTTTCATGTTTTTTTATTATTATATAACTAAAAGGACAAAACGATATTTCATATTTATTTTTATAAGCCTAATCTTTAATTTACTGGTTGGTTTTTGTATTAATGTTATAATTCATTGTTGAAACAAATATTAAAGCTACCCATGCAGAATCTTAATTCGATGAAAATTCCTATTATGTATACACGTATAAATCTTATCCTATTGCGTATACACGTATATATGTATTCGATAAATATTATGTATACACGTATACACGTATAATTCGATTATGCTTATATACACGTATTCTCATCACAAAATTAACATTTTTGGAAAATAAATCAGGAAGATGTGTATATTTTACATTTTTCACTAAGGAACATTGGAAGTTGTACATTTTACGTTACTTTCTTGATTCTCATGCCATCAGATATATACACATACATTAAGTGATTTAAATCTACTAAACTATTTTAACATTTTATGCGTTTCTTTCTTTTTACAAATATTTATTGTAACAAAAACTTCTCTTAAATTTAAGATTCCTATATTATCGCTTTCCTTTTCACAAGTATTTCAATATAGAAAATATGAGAATTTGAAAATGTCAATTGAAGTGATGGCTAAAAATGTTAATTAGCGATTAAAAATGTTATAGAAAATATTTATAATTTATAAATGTTATTTAATCTGAATTAAAAATGTTAATTATTCCATATGTTGTTTTTTTCCTTTTTTCAAAACTTTTAATATAGAAAATTGTCTTCATTTTTGAAAAAGTTAAAATTCTTTTTTAACCACATCATTGTTTTTATTTTCCTTTTTACTTAAATTTTAATATAGACAATTTCAAAAATCTAAAAATGCTAATTAATGACATGTCTAATTACAATTGATCGTTTAAAATCCTAGGTGGACGGCCTCAGAAGCTTATGGCCTCGACTTTTATATAGTATAGATTTTTACTAAGTAGGAAACAATACATAATTTTTTAATTTATTTTTTCCCGTTAGTGAAGGAGATGTAAGTAGAGAATTACTAAGTGGCCAAATTTTATTTTCTTCTTTACAAATACGAGTAGATGGCAAAACGATAAAATAAGTTATTTTATTTATCGTATGTGCATCTAACATATATAACATGGATTCGGTATGAATTTTAGAAAATATCATATGTTTGTTTAACATACAAATTTATATTATAACGCATGCTATTTGTTTATATTTTAATCACACTTGTAAGTACTATCATTTATTTACGGTTTTGTTACGATGTGTTTATTTGTCAAATTTCATCTACCAAATAAGCCCATATAAGATAAGTATTTAGATTGCAAATTTCTGTTCTAAATTAAAAGGTACATGCGATTCACGAGATTTAGAATTACATATGGGAGTGAGAATCCAAAAAAGGAGAGAATCTTTTTTGTATGAACCATTCTCATAATGTCACGTAGGCAGATCTAATACCTTTCATGTCTTTTTCTTACTGCTTTTATAGATTATTTGTCAAAGAGACAAAGACTCATAGCAATCATTTTTTTTTTTTTAGTTCACTTATTGACTAACATCATTTGGTTACCAACTAAATCTAATGGATTTTTTTAATTATTTTTTGTATCTCTATTTTCTTTATCTCCGAGATCCTATAATATGGATGGAATCTCATAACTAGGGCCGGTCCTATGATTTAGGTGGCCTAAAGCATTTTTTAAATATGTGGCCTTTTATATAAACATTAATTTAAAAAAAATTATATTTAAATATTAGAAAAGTATTAAAAATCTTTAAATGTTTTTAATAGTCTTCGAAATTATTTACACCACTAGTGTTATAGCCCGTGCGTTGCACGGCCCTTTTTCAACATTTTGGATCTTTTTTTATTTTGGGCCATCGTTAAATTTTCTTTGTAGTATTGCTAGGCTATTGGGCTACTATATTAGTTTATTAAAAATAAAAATAAATTAAAAAACAGAATAGTAGACGCAAAAAATTGCTTCGAGAGTGATAATCATTTTTGCAGCTCATTCACAAAAAAAATTATTCGATTTCTCTTTTTTTCTGATTGTTCATCCTGAAATTTGCGTTTGTTTTCCTTCACTAAATCCTATTTATCTTCTAATATGATTCTCGTCTCCTTAATTTCGGCGTCTGCGTCTCCGTCTCCGGTCGAGTTGAATCATCTAGAAGCTGTTTCGATTTCGGCAAAGCTATTTGGTAAGAAATCCGAGAAGCAATAATAATACATATGCACATGAATCTGATTATTAACTTTTTATAATATGAAATAAATCTGATTTGTTTTCAGATCTTTGAGAAAAGGATTGTCGGTCATTTAGTTGAACGTGTGTTTCTCGACCAAGAACGCAAAAATGGAGTAAGTTTTCGGAATTTAATTCTTTTCAAGCATTAGATTTTGCAGGAGGATTTGTCTTTGGATGATGATGAAAAACATATTGAATAAAATACGTTCCATCGTAATAAGCTGTCTGCTAAAAGAAAAAGAATAATTACATAGGATTTTAAGCTTGTTTGATTGACTAAACAACAAAACACTTCTTGATAGTAATTGAGATTGTAGATAGCGAGAATTGCAACTCAAGCTTTAAAGCACTCCATCTGCAACTTGAATGACTCAAAAAATAAAACGTATTAGAATACTTTCGTTATATATATACATATAAGGATATTTGTAAGAATAAAGTAGTAAGGTTATGGTCTAAGACGATATAGGACATACCTCATATGTTCTGAAATATTTCTTTGTAGACAACGTTAGTTGTTGTCTTCACCCTTTCACCATTTTCATCAGTGATGATAATTTTCAAGCCTTTTCTGCTTTTGACTCTTGATACCGCAACGTATAGTTGCCCATGTGTAAATACTGGTCTCGGCAAGTATATCCCAACATGAGATAGACTTTGTCCCTGACTCTTATTAATAGTCATCGCAAAGCAAGGTGCTATTGGAAACTGTCTTCGCTGAAGCCGAAAAGGCAATCTAGAATCTGTAGGTATCAGAAGCATTCTTGGAAGATAGACTTTCTTGCCGATGTTATTTCCAGTGAGAACTTTTGCTTCAATGATCTGTTTTCCAAGTCGTGTTATTTGCAGCCTAGTTCCATTACACAATCCGTATTGCTGGTCAAGGTTTCGTAGCAACATAATAAGAACACCCTTCTTCAGTTTCAAAAGGTGGTTTGGCAATCCAGAACACCTGATTGAATTAAGGTATTCTGTTGAGATACCATCGTCCCTCGTCCTTGAAGAATCTGAACTGCAGATCTTATCTGAACTATAATATTGATGTGATTCTCCTGGAAGAAGGTCCATGATGTAATTGTTTACCTCATCAACAACATCATTAGTAGGACAAAGTATCGCACGATCCTTGAAATAGTCCCCATCATCAAGATTCTGAAGCAAAGACGGATATGTGCTAAGTGCGATTGAATTGATTGGATCCAAAGAGTCTTTGAGAAGCATATCCTCTGGTATATCTATCTCCGCTTCACCGTTGTTTGGCTCAGAAAGTTTACCGTCTCCAAGTTTTAGTATCCACTCAGAAAACTCTTTGATGATATCCACTTCTAATGGATCTGACTCCACAGTTAGTCGCATGTTCTTTGTTAATGAAAGAACTTGGCAAGAATTCCACAGAGACGAAGAAGATAGTGAAGCTTGAACAATCTGTTCTCGACTACCTTTAGGGACCACCGGTAAAATCTGGCGAAAATCGCCTCCAAAGACAACAGTCTTACCTCCAAAAGGTTTGGTAGGGTTGAGAATATCTTTCAAAGATCGATCTAAAGCTTCGAAACAATGTTTATGCATCATTGGAGCCTCATCCCAGATGATCAACTTTGCTTCTTCTAACAAAGCTGCAATATCACTATCAGGAGTAATGGTGCAAGTTGAAGTCTCGTGTACCTGTATTGGTATTGAAAATCGAGAATGCGCCGTGCGACCACCTTCTAATAACAATGCAGCCATTGCACTGGATGCTACATTTATGACAATCTCCCTTTTTGATCGAATGTAAGTAGATAGAGTTTTCCATAAAAACGTTTTGCCTGTGCCTCCAAATCCATAGACAAAGAAAACACCTCCTTCTTTTGAATCCACTGTAGCCATTATACGCTCAAATATATTCTTCTGTTCAATGTTCAACATAGGTAGCAAACGGTGATATTCCTCTTGACACGCTTGCCTATCGTAACATAATTCATCACTTATGAGCATGTTGATCGCAGCTGGGATATTGTTATCATCAGGAAATGGGATTTCACGGAAATTTGTTAAAGAACTTCCATTAGATAACAAAAGCCTTTCAATTTCAAACAAAGTTTGATTCTTGATTTGCTCCTCTGACATCGAAAAATCTACAGGTTGAAGATAAAGCATCAGTTTCAGTTAAACTTAAATGAAATTATGGATTATACCTAAATAACTTATGAAAATGTACCTGGTGCCTGACGGATTTTCTGCTGCATGTATAATATATCCTCGGAGAGTAAATGCCACGTTTCTGACCAAACGCGGTTTGGCGTTGACAAACTTTCTGAAAGAAGAAGCATAACAAAAATTCTTCGCATATACTGTGCTGACCCCCATTGACTTGCTTCGGTTATTGCATCAATATACTCTTTATCATCATCAAGAAGATTTAGGGCAAAACATGCTTCCTTGTAGGTCGAATATATGACTCCATCAACAGTGCGTAAGTCCTCAAAACATGTAGCTCCTGTTGCTTTGTTTAAAAGCATCCTCATGTAGAACAAATTACCCGCTGCTGGAGTAAAATGATGTATTCTCCCAAATGCTATATTCCTTTGACGGTCAGTCCATTCTTTTATTTTCTTGTTCCATACAAACCAAAATGGAAATTCAGCGTACGTGAGTGTCTTAGCGAAATCGTCACGGCTGTTCGTTTTCATCCACTCTAATAGTTGTGAGGTTTGATTTGCTTCTTTGGTTAGGACTTCATCAACATCATCATCATCATCGTACATAACACTATGCTCTCCTTCTAGATGAATATTCAGTCTTTGAATATGAACACTACTATAGTGTATTTCAAATCCAAATATCCTCCACGCAGCTTCACATGGTGCAATGTACCTTTAAAGAAATTAGAAAACCGTAAATTAACCTTCCTAGCTATTACCTAGGTTTTAAGAATGAATATGTTCAGTCGATAGCTAAAAAAAGTGGTGGATTCATAATTATGTATTAAATTCTTACTTGGTTAGTTTCCATGAGTTCGATGATTGTTTTTCTTTCAGATAAGTGAAATGATTGTTTGGAAATATGAGCCGACTTTGAAGATATTATTTCAGTAATAGCTAATCTTGGTTCTTCGTTGCACAACCTATAACAGAAAAATATTTGCGTTTAAAAGCTGAAAATATAAGCTAATGAAACAGGACGAAACATATATTATGTATATTTACTTACGCTTCTTGAAACTGAAGAATCTCTGGTAGTGGAGAATTGATATAAGCTTTTGTTGTAAATTTTGAGCTTTGAACTGTGCCTTTACCTGGAAAAGAAAAATTCAAAAGTTAAATGTTTTATACATCTTAACACTCTTTTTCTCAATGATACGTTTAAGAATACGTATACCTTGATATAGCAAAGTCTTCATCAAACTTCCAAGAAAAACAACAGGACCTGATGGTTGGGATTTAATATTAGAGTAGACATCTTCTGCAAGTTTACCCCATAAGGCAACATCAATAAGTGAATCCCTGAGAAAGAAAAAGAATTGTTTAAGAAACATCAATAAGCGAGTCTCTTCTGAAGATTTCAAACATGAATAAAGGATGAATTTTAAAATTACCCAAGATCTTTAAGCTGAAGATTAAGCAACTTTGTTGGACCTTCAGCAGTAGTGATACTCTTAACTTCATTCATCCCAACAATCTCACCAATAATGTCTGCAAATTTGGAAAATTACATTGAGAAATAACTTATAGATGAATAGGAAAAATAAAAGTGGTGGAGATAACGTACCAATGAATATAGTATCATCATTTCTTCTTGCTAATATCTCAGGAAAAGGACATAAGTTGAAACACGCTTCTAGATTAGGAATCTCCTCGCTTGGTTTAACACATGTGTAGAATATGAAATTGATCTTGTAAGGATGGTCACAACTCCGAAATTTTCCTAGATTTGGGCATAATTCAAAGTTCATAAGAACACAACATTTCCCTTCTTTTAAGTCCTTCTGAAATTTATCGAGTAATTTTCCTTTTACAGAAGCTTGTATCCTACTTCCCTGTTTCAAAATAAAACGTAAAACGTATCACAGAGTTGTTATAAAAAAATGCTCATCCAATTATCACATCTCTCTCTCTATCTTTTAACATAACAACATTACATAACAAAGCATTCATGTTTTTGTTCAATAGATTCTCGCCTCTTTCCACTTACAACTAAATAATTCAGCTAAGACAGAGGCTGTTTTTGTAAAGTGAATTCACGACTAAACAACTCAATATTTTAGCAAAGTAAATAATTCAGCAAACTAAACCATACAATTATCACATCTCTCTGTCTCTTCTAACATAACAAACATTACATAACCAAGCATTTGTCTTTGAATTCAATAGATTCTCGTCACTAAATAATTCAGCAAAGTAAATAATTCAGCAAACTAAACCGTGTTATTATCACATCTCCCTGTCTCTTCTAACATAACAACATTACATAACAAAGCATTTTTGTTTGAGTTCAATAGATTCTCGTCACTAAATAATTCAGCAAACTAAAACATCCAATTAGCATACCTTTTCATCCACAATGAGAAGATCAATTCCTGTAAATTCTTCTGGTTTATTCTTTTTTGGAAAACCCCAAAGACGGACAATTCGAACATTGATTTTACATGGATCAGTGCCTAAAGTTAATTGGGAAATAGGTGTAATGTCGAGCGGCATATCTGCAAATCAAACACACAAAAAGAAATAAGATACTTTAATTGAGATGAAGTGGAAGAAGATTAGAATGATGGTTTTTGATGAATAAGTGACATGCAGATTGATCACGATTGAATATTGAACTAAAAAGTTTGCAAAAGGCAATATCTTAGATTAGAATCACATAAAAAGGTAAGCTCTTTGGATCAAAGGAAAAAAAGCTTTCATATAATAGCCCAAAATTCTCCAACGGAGTATACTTTGATTGAGATGAGGTGGGAGAAGATTAGAGTGATGGTTTTTGGTTCATAATCAAAAATAGTTGAAAAGCTTACCTTTGATTCAAATCAAACGACGGAGGCTCAGTAGAGATAGGGAGAAATTGAGAAATACACCGTTCAATTGATTGAGAAATTGAGAAATCATTGGTTTTTGCTCTCAGAAATCGGGGAATAAGGGTGAGAAGTAATCTGAAAGGAATATTGATTTTGAGAGATCTGAAACCTTTTTGTAGTTCCATTGTTGAGAAGTGGAGATCGATTTGGAGATCGTGGGAGAAGAAGGTTTTGTCGAGATGCGGTTGTGTCGTTCAGAAAAAGGTTTTGTCGAGATTTTTTTTTGTTTTATTTAAAATTAATTAAAATTTAATTGTTTTAAAAGCTGAAAGATAAAAAATTGGGACTTAAGCCAGGTGTCATACGGAGGATGTTGCAGTTACTTGAAAATTTACTTGTGATTTATTAGATAAGGATTTGATTTGTCGAGGGTTTTTTTTTGTTTGAATAAGAAATAAATGTCTTATTTATAAAACCAAATATTAAAGGTTTTTTGTGAAAGAAAAAAAGAATTAAATTATCAAATAAAATAATAAGTGAACTGAAGAAAAAAAAAAAAGAGGGGAAAGTGCCCACGAAAAAAACAAAACTGCTCACGGAAAAAGAAAGAAGAAAAACGAGTGCCACAAAAAAAAACACATAAATGGCGAGGGGAGGATTCGAACCAGTACATCTGACATAAAATTGGACTATTTAACCAGCAGACCAAAGAGTTAATTTAGCAAATGTGGCCCTCTCGTTTACTCTTATATCATGTGGCCTAAAGCAAGTCCTTCACTTGCTTTATGGACGGGTCGGGCTGCTGAGAACACATAATAGATAATTCCATTTGCTATTTCTATTAGAGGGTGAGCCTAGCTACCTACCATGTGAAGAATCTAGGATCCCATGTGATTTGATAGTTTCAAACTTCCAATTATGTTTACATGTCTTAATATTTGACTTTCTTTGTATATTTTCTTTAATTAAACAGTAGTTTTAAACATTTTCTAGATGTTTTTCTTACTAATATTTAACATAGTGATAGAAATTACGGGATGGATTTTAAAAAAATTTCTCTAAGAAAGAAAATTGATGTTGTATTTGGATAAGAATGTCAATATGGGCTAAAACTGCGGGCTTTGTTTCACTTACGCCGATACAAACCTACACAAGATGTTAAAATATGTGAATTTTTTGGGATCGTTTTAGGTTATGAACTAAAAATGAGTCATGTAAATTGCTACTCAATTAACTCTATGCTACTTTCCTTAGATTACTAAGAACTCGTACATTAGGTTACACTAGACTTACTATAAGGTATTATGATAATATTCCATATTTCCCAATCTTTCGTTATCTCATAGTGGAACATCCGATAAGGTCGGACGCTGAGAACGAAGTAAAATTCCGTGAAACCCAAGATTGGTAGGTCTTTGGTGAAGATGTCGATATATTGTTGAAAACGAAACATATATAAAATACTTGGACGTAGCTGACATCTACATGTTGACGGACAAAATGGATGTCAATTTCCACATGTTTGGAGAATTGGCGCTGAATCAGGTTAGTGGAGAGGTAGACCGCACTGATACTATCATAACAAACAATTGTATGAAGCTTTGGAGAGTGGAGAGTGGAGTCCTAGCATGAGATTTTGGATCCATATTGTTCGGCAACGCCGTTTGCAAGCTCCTCTATATTTGGCTTTGGTCGTGGATCACAAACTTAGTTGTTGGCATTTGAAGGACCATGAGATCAAGATTTCCCGGAGAAAGACATAGTCGCCGGAAGTTGATCTCTGTGTGCTTGATTAGCCACCCCAATCAACGTTAGAGTCAGCTACTAGACTCGCCTCCAATGTTTAATACAATTGGAGAGCATGCAAATTATGTTTACATAGTGAAAGAGTCTTCTCTCTCTCTCGAGATCAACAGTCTCTAGAAATCGAATCGGCTAGATGTCATTCGAGTAAGAAGCATAGGCAAAAGGAAAATGGAGAATCACGAAAAGATAATTCGAAAGAAACTTGTTGAAAAGAGCAACGATGAATTATTAGACCTAAGAGCATGATTATAGGTAGGCTCTTAGAAATACCTCTTAGCAATATTTAAGTAATTTATTTGTAAAAGTGATTGTTAAGAGATAGTATTTTTGAGTTAAGATTTTTGTCTGATTAATGGTAGGCTCTTAACATGTGGTTCTTAAATATTAAATTTTTGAAAATTATTTTAGTGTAAATGTATGGAATTGGTTTATGAAAAAAGTTTTAAGTGTATGAAATTTGTGTTTAAGTTAAAGAGATATGAATAACACACACCATGATGATCCAAACTCAGTCAAAAGACATAGCACCATGAAGCGCAGTTAAAAATGGAGAAAACCGAAAAGAGGATGACTTTGTAATTATGATGTCTCACACCATGAAGGTAATCAAGTCTCCGGTCTCGGATGGATTATACGCAATTCTCATGGAGTTTTTCAGGATTGTGGGATGGGTCAATTCCAAGGGAGGATGACAACAGAAGAAGCGAAGTACACGGCTTTAATATGGGCAATGCAAGCAGCTTGGGCACTAGGATACCGAGCGGTCGAGTTCGAAGGAGATAATCAAAATGTAATCCGAATAATCAATGGCTCTGCTTTGAACCCACGGCTCAATCACTTCTTAAACACGATATGGGGATGGAGAGATAAGTTTCCGGATGCAAAGTTTCTATTCACGCATCGTCAACAAAATCAGTGTGCGGATTTACTAGCAAAGACCATTAGAACTTCTCCAAACCAATGGTGTATGTACCATCATGTCCAATGTTTCTTAATACCGTTGTAAACAATGATCTTTGATAAGTTTTAATAAAAAGCCATTAGAAGGAAAAAAAAAAAAAAAAAAAAAAAAAGTTAAAGAGATATGAATATAATTTTAGTTAAAACTCATAAACCATAAAAAATTTATTCATCTCTTTGTCTTCAGTTTACATATCAAAGACAAATGTCCTCCATCTTTTAAATCAAATCTATATTATCTCTGTTACATCAACACAAAGACTCAAAATTGCATTTTGTTTACTCGAAGAACAAGCACTTTTACTAATGTTTGTCAAGTTTCAAAACGTTGTCACCGCAGAGCCGGCCAAGATCTTCTTGTGTGAGCAGACTCCCCATGCTTCACCTATTCTTGTTTTCATTCTTTCAACTGCACACATGAAACTCAAACCTGATCAAGATTTTAAAACATTGGACCAGTCAAATACCCAATTGACAAAATCTGAATTGCTTTCCCACTCCAGATTTAGTAAAATTATCTATACAAAACTTCCATTGGTTGATTTGCATATCAGATACTAGACAAGGAAAACTTACCCGTGAGCATGCTCGACATCAATAATAAAACAAAAATGCAGAGAAATCAAGTAGTGCCATGTCAAAAAGAACATTAGATTTTGTTAAAATGTATTGTAGTGAATCACACCCCATGAGAAGGAAACATATGAGCGATCATAAACAATCTATAATAAACCATAATTCGATTCATCTCCACTAGTCTAAACTTGCTCCTCCTCCATCTTCCTCATGAAACCAAGCTTTTGAAACCGATGGTGGAAGTCAATTTTGATAATCAACACCGCTAATCTAACTAGTAATTTAGGCATTCTATTATAATTAGTGAATTCTACTTTTCTTTTTCCCAAAGACTCATCTTTACCTTTTGATCAAATTCAAAACCTCAAAGTAAAACACATAAATTTTGATCAAATTCAAGAGGAAAATACCAAATCCTTAACAGTTTCAACACAAATCCCCAATTCCATGAAACCTACTTTCTAAAAACTCTAATCACATCAATTCATACAATCAGAGATAGATTCATACCATGACAAACCGAGTTGGTGAAACATTACCTCCGATTTGCAAATCGAAACTCGGAGATCTTGTAAAAATAGTCTCCGATTTCGAAACCCCACATCGCCGATTAGGTTAACCGAAAACGCCGTGAACGACAAACGTCGGTGGAGATGATGAGATTACAGCGGAAGGACGGCCGGAGGAACATTGGAGAATCCTCAGATTGGTTTTGATTTCTCTGTTTTTGTCTGAAGAAATTGCGTAAGAGAGAGAGAGAGAAGAGAGAGAAGAAGAAACGAGATTTTTGTCTCTTAACTAAGGAACGTCTCTTAGTTATTTACATCATTTGGCATTTAATTTAATTCTTATATTACTTAAGATTTGGCTAAGATTTGGCTAAGAGACTTACAATAATCATGCTCTAAGTAGTATGTATAAACTGACATAGTCATAACTTCATCTAATTAGTTTCACCTGGTAGGTGACAAAAGAAGAGAATTCGAAACCTCATGGCTTTAAGAAATAAACATATCAACATGAGGCGCAACTTCTGAATATATGTGTGTATATTATATATGTAATATCACGTCCAATGTATAATTGAAGCAACAAACTAAATATCTTAATAGAGAAAAACCTGAAAAAAAATAAGAGGGGCTAAAAGGAGAAAGAAGCAGAAGAATCAGCAGTTTTTAGTTGATCTCGATGAAGAGACTTGCCTGAGGATGCAAACCTGCGTCTTTTAGTGACATTGACTCTTTGTCTCTTCCGTACACTGTCCTTGGGAAGTTTGTTATTAAGCTGTACTCTTCTGTATCTAAGACTCCAAGTGAATCAACGTAGTCGTACAATGTCTGGATCTTGGTTTCACTCTTAAACATCCTCCCTTTTCTTTCTCCATTCGGGAACCGTACCAAAACCTACGTTTCAAGGCAAATAAACGGTTCATGGAATAAATCAGACCATTCTCAGTTATTCTCAGAGCCTCATGTCAAAAGAACACAAATTTTCAGAACATTTGATCAATGAGAATCAACCATGATAGAACCTAATCTTTAAAGAGGCACTAAGATTTGGGAACCATACTAAAACCTACATTTCAGGTCAAATAAACGGTTCGCAGATACCATAAATCAGACCGTTCCCAGGTATTCTCATAGCCCAAAGTCAAAAGAACGAAAATTTTCAGAGGTTTGATCAATGAGAATCAACCAAAGAACCGAAACTTTAAAGAGGAACGTTCTATATCCGTCACAAATGAAATCAATAAAGATGAATAGATTGATATATTTTCATAAGTAACTATGTGAGAAAAGAAAAGTAATGAATAGCCAAGGAAGAAGGAGAATTTACTTGTGTAACATCAGGGCCTTTCTCAGGTTCATCTCCAAGAGCAAGTGCTTTCTCTTGTCTCATTCTCACTCTAGCAGCTTCTTTCTCTGCAGCTTCACGTTCTGCTCTCTCCTGAGCCTCTTTTTCCTCAGCAGCTTCCCTCTCTAAACGTTCTTCCTCTTCCCGTCTCTCTCGCTCCCTTGCCTTATCAGCAGATAGAAAAATGCCACAAATTTAGACAAAAGACTAATCATAAAATCTTGTAAATTCTGGGCAGGCCTACAAAAAAGGGGAAACATACTTGATCGGCTTCAAGAGCAGCCCGGTAAGCAGCATCTTGTTCCTCTCTCAGACGCAGATTGGTTCTTCTTTCCTCCGCCTCAACCCTAGCAGTTACCAGCGTAGGTGAACTATCTTCTACAACTCTCTGTAATATAGCAAGCATTTCTTCTGGAGATTTTGGTCCCTCAACCTGTCACAAGCAAACAGAACAAAAATCACGATAACCTTAAGAACTACATTTCCTGCCACACAGCACATTACTAAACTCATTAAAGCTAGTTTACACTAAATGTAAGACATGCCGGGTCACAGATGAAAGCAGAATCAAACTACTAATCACTTTAACAATATAGTATAATGGATTCAATTCCAATGCAGAGAAATTCATAACCAAGTCTACTTAAAATTGATAAAGTTCTTCTTCACTCATTGTTTAAAATTATAAGCTAATCAATGAAGAGCAATTCAAGTATGACATAGCAGAATCTATGATCAAACCGAATAATGACTGTCTTTACCTGTTGAAGAAGAGCAATTCTCTGGTTAGCAGCAGGCATAACAACAGCGCAAAACGGAAACCTCAATGCTTTCAAGCTATTACTCATCTTAAATCCTTCACTAGATCGAATACTACCTCCCCAAGAAACAAAATTCTCATTAACAAACGCTACAACCGCTTCATTACAAAGCGTCCCATCACAAAACACAGGTGTATCCGGATGATCCGGAGAATGCAAGTAAACAAACAAGAGCTTGAACGAGCTCCTAGATCGCTGAAGCGCATCCATAAATCCTTCCACTACAAAATCAATCTTAAAAGCATTATTATTACTCCAATAATCTCTATCAAACAAAGCAACAAACTCCATCGCTTCACCAGCAGCAGAAGAAACCGAAACAAGCCGAGACGCCGACGACGAATCAGCCGAACCACCACCTCTCCCTGATCTAAACCCTAACATACCAAAGGAATACGATAAAACACCACCAGCAGCCCAAATCCCTAACCCGATCGCTCCAGAAACTAACCCTAAGCTACCAGAAACAATCGAAATCGGTAAAGTAATAATCCTCCACGCCACTCCTGGACCTTGATTTCCTCCTCCATCATCACGCATAACAAGCTCTGTGTCGTCAACGATCCCACGAGGTTGATAATCAGGAGTCACGGCGGCGTTATCGTGATCGTGATCGTGATTGTTACCACCATCGACGGCGGCGGAAGACGAAGCGTCATGATCAGAAGATGTGAATGAAGAGATTGCGAGTTCTAGGTCCCAACCATGAGCTTGAAGGATCTCAGTGCACAAATCGGCATCTTCAAGACCTGTAATCGCTTGGAAGTAACCTAATTTGTCGACAGTATCAACCATTATCGCAAAACCTTAATTTGATTTTCCCACGCTTTTGGATCTTCTCTTCTCTTCTCTTCTCTTCTCTCTCACTCTTATCTCTAGAAGACTAGAATCTAGAAAACTGTGTTCTTTGAGTAAATGGTTGATCTATTCAATGACAATGACGATGGCCTTGAATGCAATTACCGATAATACCCCCTCGACTTCTAAACTACACCGTATTATAAACATGGGCGTTCGGGTACCAATTCCAGTTCGGTTCGGTTCATAGCCTTCATTATCCATTCGGATATTTTAAAATTTCGGGTTAGTTACGGTTTTTTTCGGTATTACATTTTAGTATCCATTCAGATATCACAGTTATTTTTGGATAATTTGGATATTTTATAGTTATTTTTTTGTAGAATTTTTAGTATTTTTATACTCCCTCTATTTCAACAAGATTGAATTTTAGAAATTCATATATATTGAGGAACAATCATTGTTTAATTATTTAATAATTAATTATTTTTATTAAATATTTTTTAATAAATTATGAATCAATAGTAATCTGAAACAGTTAATTATTTTCAATCATTACGTCTTAAAATCTATGTTTTATTAATATCAATTAATTAAAAATAAAGGAAAAATGTAGAAAATCAATTTTTGTGGAACAAATTTAAAACACTAGAACAATAAACTTCTAGTAACATAGATATTTTTGATTATTCGGTCTATAAATAACTAATATGTTCGGTATCGGTTTAATTCCGGTTTATTCCGTTTTAGAATTTAGGATCCATTCGGATATTTTCAAAATTTGGTTCAGTTTTTTTTTGTTTTGGTTCCGGTTCGGTATGTTTAGTTCGGTTAATTTGCCCCTGCCTAATTGATGGAATAAACCAAATTCCAACCGGTTTAGTTAAACCAGCGTGTGAAGATCCAATTGAGATTGGAATGCTAAAGTTTCAATCTTTCTCCTTCACTTTATTCAAAGCAATCTTCTTTATTATCCTCCATTGTTGTTTAACTTAAAAGGAAGATTTTTACTGGAAAAAAAGTGAGTTCTTTTCTCTGTTTTATTTGTTTTCTTAATTACTTCGTAAAATGTGATTAGATTAACGAAAACAGAGCTATTCAATGTTAATTAGGGTTCTTCTCTTGCTTTCGGATTTGGGAAATTGATGAAAGTAAGGAAATTTTAGTAACGAATTTGGTAATTGTGTTCTTATTGGTTTGTTGTTTCTGTAATTAGAGTTGCTGATTATAGAAAAGTTTAGGCCTTTGAATTCGATATAGGATTATTGTTATTGATGATATACTTATATGTGTTTCTTGATTTGAATTGGCAGTTAAAAACATCGCAAAAATGCAGGAAGCTGTCATTGATGTATCACTCAATACAAAGAATGTCTTCTCGTCAGCTCTCCGATTCGCTATGTCCATTGATACATTGAAGAACTCTCCTGAGCTTGTTCATGAGCTCAAAACTTCAGCTCAAGAACAAGTGGAGTTCATGTTATCCGAGGACGAAGAGGTACGGTTACTGATTACTGAAGAGGAAGTGAAATCGGTTGTACGATTAGGTATCTCGAATGTTATATCGATGTTGTTGGATAGATTATCATCTTTGCTTGTGATTCTTCCTGAATGTACTGAGTTTAGTGTTCTTAAGACACTCTATGATATTGAGTGGCTATGCAAAGTATTGCCGAGGATGGAGTTGATGAAAGATCTTGTCTTTAAATGGGCCGATGTATCAAGTGAGATTCTTGTGATTGCTCAGAAGTGTAAGTTAGATTCTAGGATATTGGGTGTGAAAGTTAAGCTAGTTGAGGTTACAGGGAAGATTTTAGAAGCGGTAGGTTATGGAATTGTGATTGTTCCATCTAAAAGCCGGACTTGTCTTCTGAAGATATGGTTGCCTTTCATAAGGAGATTAAAGACTTTGGTTGATGCAGAAGGATCTGAGTGTGAGTACAGAATGGATGAAGATCTTTGCGAATTCATAGAAGGATCGATGGTGTCTTTGGTTTTGACATTGCCTTCGAACGACCAAGCAGAAGTATTTGGCGAATGGATGAGAGGGATTGGGTTGGAAGGTGTGAAGTTTCCGGATTTGAGTGAAGCTTTTGAGGTTTGGTGTTATAGAAGTAAGTCTGCAAAGAGAAGGTTGTTGGAAAGATGTGATAGACTTGCAATTGTAAATCTTGACCATTGAATGTAGTATATCGTTTTCAAGATTCGGGAAACTGGAAATGCAGATGTAGCTAAGCAATTTGAAGTTCCAAGCCTTTCTTCTTCCTCAAGCCGGTCTGCTTATTTCCAAAGGTTGAATGAAGATGGATAGTAGCGTTGTTCAATTCACAGTTCACTCACAATGCCTTGAAACTAGACCCAAGGAAGATAACCCGATAATTTCAACCGTATTACTGAGAGGAGGGATCCAAGCCACGTGAATTCTCACATTTGTAATCTTGTTTCATCTTCCTTGAATAGTTTGCTGCTTCATTGTAATTCTGGATTGTAGTAGGAGTGACAGAAAGCTCCTGATTCTTGTAACTTTGATCCTGATTAATGATATAAATGGTGCGGTCTATGTTTAAGCTAATAGGTAAAGGTGAAGACAGGAGAAGAACCAAGCTTCTGATACGCTAACAACACCGTTGGTTGTGAATTGAGAAAGAGAATCAGTCTAGCATAAGAGGATTAAGCATTGTACAATTATTCTTCTTGCTTTGATTTGAACCGCAACAAAAGTATTATCATTTTCATACAAAAAGAGAAAAGTAATTCAACATTACATGGTCCCAATCAAGATTTGTTTGCGGCAGAAAACATGATGTATGCTTTTTCAATTAATAAAATTAAAGGAAACTGAATGAATAATTTGCTACTTCTTTTTCAAAAGCAAACACCTCCTTGCACATGTACTTTGTTGAGTACCCAAAAAGAGAGAAATTATAAAACGTCATTTTATCAGGTTTTCTTGAAACCATCATGCCAAGTTTTTGGACACAAACCTCAAATTTCAGGAAAAGAGATTGAGAAAGCTCATTGGAAACTAATATGACAATCATACATAAAACACAAAACACTTCCAGAAACCTATTATTTTCCCCAAAACCTTTAGATGATTATCATAGCCTAAAAATGCAGCTTCACTAAAACTTGTCATGTAAAGAGATAGAGCTAAGGAGGGAAGAAAAAAACAAGAAGAAAACTCAATGTAGTCCTCAGAGTCATTAATTGTGCTTCAACATAGCAATTTCAAATTGCTTTAGCAATTGGAACGATGAGTGTAAATCTCATTGCAACTCATCATTGGACTACTACATAAACCAATCTACCTACAAACCAATACTTCTTTTGCAATATGAAAGGCTTCTCAAAACAATGAAATTGGAAAACCAAAATGCATTTTAAGTATCTAAACTCGACATCAGATCCAATGTAAGATTGAGAAAAGTTTTATAAACTCCAAAAGTTAGCTAAGGAACAAATGAAAGAAGATGTACTTACTAATACCTATACATTCTACATACTACTAAATCCTTACAAATTTAAAGATCACCTCGAACCAAAAACAAGAAAGAATGAAGCCAGATAATGTGTTAAAACATCACTAACAAGAGACCGATGATTATGAAAGATACACAAGCAAAGTTCTCAAGAGTTTAATCTCACACAAGATATTCCCACAATCCTATCATCAACGCAGCGACTAACTATGTCCCCCACTGGTTCTTAACAGAAGATGAGCAGATATCTTGGCATAAGTATAAACAACGAAAATCAACAAAATCGATCCAAAAATCAAATGCCAAAAATCAAGCATATATAAAATAAACTTCACATAATCACAACCATAACCGTTCAAACGCAAGGTAATAGTCATAAACGTTTACACATAAAAGATGTCAAATGAAACACCAAATCTTGCATATACAATTCAAAAGGTCTGATCTTTTTCATAGCATTATACATCGGAGATACATTCCTAAAAGACCCACATCACCGATTAATAAAAGAAACCCAAAAAAAAAAAAATTACCGGAGGAGGATGAGTCAAAAGGAGGCTAAACGATGTCGTCTGGGTGAGTAGCGGCGGAGAGAGCAAGGGGACGGTTGTGAGACTCTTCGCCGTCATCATCATCATCAGAGGTAGATAGATTAACGCATGAGCAACGCTCAAGGGAGGCGAAGAAGGCGGAGATGACGGTGGTGCTAACCCAGCTCGCCGCTTGATCTAGCTTTTCGAGGGAAGCCGTGCTTAGATTTGAGGCGGTGGAAGCGGTGGAATTGATGCTGCTGCTGTTATCCATGGCTTCACGGTTCGATTGGAATCGAAAAAGATCAAAGATCGTATTTTTGGGGGAGGGGTTTTGAATCGAAGAGAAACGAATTTGGGGATTTTTTTGGCGATGCAGAAATATGTTGTGTTGATTGAAAAAAGGTTATTAAAAAAAAAAATGTTGATTGAAAGATAGTTTACGGATAAGTTTGGTTATGAGGAATTGTATAACAAAAAGCGCATCTGGTGTAGTGGTATCATAGTACCCTCCCACGGTACTGACCAGGGTTCGATTCCCTGGATGCGCAATTTTTTTTCTCTTTATACGTATGGACCTTCGAAATGGCAAACGGGGAAGCCCGCACCCATTTGATCCGTATACGTATGTACCAGGGTTCTACGGCGACAATTTGTTTTTCCTATTGTAACAGTTTGTATAGTTATGTTCAGGTTGACGGACGGTACGCAGAATTCTTTAAAAATAAAATTAACAACTTTTAAATGGAATATAAGTATATAACGTTTATTATTATTACTAGGTTTTGAACCCATGAAATATTTTTGTGAAAATTAAATACGATTGATGATAGTTTTTGAATTACTATTAAAGCAAAATTTTCATTTCAAATGCACAATTCTAAAAATTAATAGTGTTTAAGAAAAAAATCTTATCAAAAGAATCATGAATCATTCTTGTTTTCTCATATTCAATTGGCCGCCAACACCTATCTCTTCGTATTTCTCTTCACATTCATCGTTTCTTACTCTTCATATTTCTTCTCGTCATCTGCATTGTCAATTTTTCATGTATGTTATCATCCTTACTTTTTGCTACTTCGTTATACTCTTCCTCTTCTTCTTTATCTTCCTCACTTTCTTTCTCATCTTCTTCATCTTCTTCTATATAAAACATTGTTGTTATGTGGTTGAAAACAGAGCAAGAAATTTAAACTTACTAATATTATACAAACATATCTTCATAAGCCTATGAATTAACTACCTGAAATAACGTCGTTCATTTGACCTTTTGAACTCGAAATTTGATGCCTTTCTACCAAAACTTAGTTCCACGTTCTCGAGAATACTCCTACCAAATTTCATATTATTTAGATGTTCATGTCTCCACTTTGCTGGTCAGATATGAAACTTTAAACGAAATCTTCTCGAACATGTTGAAGACACTTTCTTCTAAAAAGCCGTTTAAATCTATATCCTATCATTAAACCTCAAGAAAGTAATACCAGAAACCTCGCCATCAAGTTTCAGCTACATCTGAACCAAACGTTACCATATGAACCAATCAGAACTTTTCTCACGACAATGGATTTCTCTCTATCTAATCTATATATCGCTCTTTCGCTTGACGCCAATCTATCCGCGTTTCTCTCTTTCTCCTTTATTGTTACATATAAAAAACTACCATCTTTGTTACCTAGGTTATGACGTCAATTGTTTATTATATAAGGAAACTCTCATCAATTAAATTTATTACATTTCTTACGTCTCGTCAATTCCCGTTTTTGATTTAAATTGGTACTCTAAGAAGAACAACTTTTTCCATAATTTCAACACAAGTCTTTATACATTTTGCCTGGTTAGATACCATCCAACTGAAGTATATACAACCTAAGTTAAAAGAACAAAATTACACAAGAAGTTATCTCATTAGCCATAGTTTTATCCACTTGCATTTTAACGTAAACAATTTTCACTATATTGGGCTAGACATCTTTCCGAAGAGGGTTTCCTTGCATGGTCTTACATGTATGTTCCTTAACTTACCTCCATCACCACTTCATTAGATTTATTAGTCCATGAAACTTCTTGGGCACAATCAATTGATGCTGAAATTGTTAGAACCACTAAATAACCAATCAAAATAATTTATTTTAGAGTAACACAACTTGTTTCCCAGCGAACCTCCTGCAACGTCCAAGACCAGAATTATTTCCTATTTTCTCATAAGATGTCTGCTATTCAACCAGCATAGCCACCACCTGTACTCAATTATTGATACTTTCACACATATACTCGATTTAAGATACGCACGTTTTGAAATTTTTCAAACAAAAATCCTACAAAATTGCAAATTACTTGCAGAGGAAACAACATGAACATGGCCACATGTATAGCTAATAAAACATGTGTGCTTGTCATTGATCCTTCTTCTTTAAACCATAAATTTAACTCGAACAATCAAATCAAGGTCTTATGACTCATAACCTATATGAAAAAGCACAAACATCGACCAATGATGCATATCATCGATCCTTCTTCTTCAGACCCAAAAATTGTACGCAAACAACATCAAATCATATATAACATCATACATAAACACATGTTTTACGGCTCATCAAAGATATGAAACAGAAACAGCCTGACGGACAGAGAAAAGTGCCCACAGTGGCAAAAGCGATGAAAAAAATAAAAAGAGGCGCAATTAAAAGTAGTTACCAACAGTCATTCTTACTAACAATTTGAAATTTATAATTTAAAAAATTATGATCAAAATCAGATGCCTCCGATTATTATTTATATGATCCTAAGTTAATCGAATATGTTTTTTTAAATATTTTTTTGTTGAAAAATTAGAAGCTTAACAAAATAAGCAAATTAGTTTAATGTTTTTCAAAAATTTACATTTTTATTCTATATATTGCTTTTCTTATTTCCATATGTTGTTTTTAAAAAGTTTACATTTCTATTCTGTACATATATATATATATATATATATATATATATATTCTTTTCTCATAAATATCTTAATATATAAAGTATTAAAATTTTAAAATATTAATTAATGTAATGTAAAAAATGTTAACTAATGTCAAAAGTATTTACTTTTTATTATATTTAGTTTATGTATTTAGTAACAAAATTTCTATTCAGAATTGTTTCATATTTTCAGATATTTTGTTTGTAAATTTAATAATCTATAAAAAATAAAAATTTACATTTTGATTATTTATAGTATCTTTTTAAATAACATAAGAATATACAGTAATTACAAATATTTCTCTTATTGTTTTTTTTTCCTCTTTACTAAAACTTTAAAATAGAAAATTATCATAATCAAAATATGTTAATTAATGAGATGACTAGTCCTAATTGGTCGTTTTAAATCCCACGTGGACGGCCTCAGAAGCTTATAGCCTCGACTTTTATATAGTATAGATTTTTTGTAATTATTCTAATTTTATATATTAAAATTCTTTATATTATCAACAAAATTTATTTATTTTTGTTAGAAAATAGGAATCTTATCAACCCACAAATCATGTTCTGGTCCAAGAGACCCGTGTTTAATAAGCCTAAAATCTTATGTCCATACCCGTTCAATGATGTGTTGGGTTAGGCTTGGCCTGCAGATTGTCCGTTTTCGTTTCCGAGTGTCTTAAAAGTCCCCAAAACCATTTGAGTCTTCATACATCTAGCTCTACATAATGGATAAAATTTATGGGCTTCATTACATAGTTGGGGAATGTTCCTTCAGAAATATCGGAGTTGAGTACCTCTCAAACAAGATTAATGCGTGTTTACTTTCTTAATACAAACGAGAGTTTAGAATTGTAAGTTGTTACACATAGGCTCTAATAATCAACAGCCCCAGAACAACCATAACTTCTCCGCATGTTTGGTTTTGCAAGTAACTATCTATGTCATATGGCTAGAGCGCAACAACATATTTCACAATGGATTCTATTTAACCATGGACACAGCTTTCAAGAGACTGGATTGACTGATGACTGATACGTGCGACACAATATTAGCAAGAAGAAAAAGAAAGGCCGTCGGTGACCTAATGCAACATTGGCTCGCGAGGTCCTAAGGAAGTCTGATTATAATCTGGAAGGCTTCTCTTGTTTTTTTGGGACAAGCAAAGCCTTTATTCCTTAATATTGTTAAGCAAATTTTGTTAAGTAATTACAATCCCTCTTCATTCCTTAATGAAACTCACATTCATATAAAAATGAAAAAAAAACAAATCAAGAGCTAGGGAGAAACCATGGGGAAGCATTTGAGGTTATTCTTTGTTGCAACATAGACCACACAATGGATATAACAGAACAAAACAGAACCTAGAAAATAAAAGCAGAGAGAAGCAAATTAAGACGGAAGAAACCATTGAGCATCCTTGGCCCCTAAGTAAGAGAGGCTAGGGAAGCGTGTGACATTCTTTGTTTCAAGATTGAACACACAGATGTCTCGGGCCCGGCATGAAGGTTTCAGTTTACAGTTACGGAGACGGTCATGACGGGTGAAATAGATGGAGTTTGGTTGGATACCAAGTGTATGGTCAGCAGGCACAGTGAGACCTAAATCCAAAAGGAGAGCCTCATCACCTAGAGAATCTACCTCAACAGACACCTTCGGTCTGTATATAAACTCATCCGGATCTGGATTAGGAACCTTCTTGTAGAGGCGGAAGCCGATCATAGGTGGTATTTCAGAGTCAGAGGAATCATCATAAACGATGCTCTCGACCAATAAAACCTCTCCTGATGTTGTAACAGCAATGTTATGTCTAGAAAATGCTCCATCATATGTGGTTTCATCATCACTACTCGGATGAGAAGCTGGGTAAAGTGGTGATAATAGATCAGTGTTGGATACAACATCATTGTAACCTTCATGTCCAGACAAATCCAGGACTCGAATGTATCGTCGAATCGTGAAGACATAAAGAATGTCACCCCGGAGTACCATATCAGATATGCCTCGTAACTGTCTATGAATTACATCGATATCTGTTGGAATGCTACGGTAATGATCTTCCCCGTTCTTGCAAAAGGCTATATAACTGGCACCCGTATCGAAAAACCACACAACAGTGTATTCTTCTTTCTTCTTCTCATCTACCCACAAAAGACCTCTCAGATTAACCACATTCTGGTTGTAGTAACCAAAGCTATAGGTCTAGTAAATCTAGTTTCGAATTCCTTATCTCCTATTCGCTTAAGAGTAAAAAATAGGCCTTTGATTGAGTCTAAAGGTGGGAGATTGATTCTCTTCTCGCTAAACAAATCTATGATATAGAGATTGGATTTAGAATCTAGCGTGAGGAACAAGTTACCTGAGTTTGCTAGGAATCGAGTCTTTGATAAGTCTTTCTTTGTCTTGTAAATATTAGAATGTCCCACATTCCTAATAGTAAACCCTATCTTCGTCTGGATTGTATAGCACGCAACCATCTTCTGGAAACAGCATCAGCCATGGAGATTTCCTTTTCTTGTGCAACGTTTGTTTCGAGCACACGTACCAATTCGTACACACGATCTTAGCGCGGTGGAAATCTACAATACTCAAACATTCGAACAGAGATCTCAAGATATCGAAAGGAAGGTCTGACCAGTGGCTAGAATTAGGAGTTTCCATGGAATCAGTGAAGAAATTTAGGAGGAGCAAGCACTACAAGAAATATGGATATTGATAGCACCAGAGGATAGCTCATTTTCGCTTACTGCTATTAAAAATGAGTTTGTAATCTTGGTTACTAGATAATAGCATTTATTAAACGCTAAGATAAAAATTCCCTAAGCGGGAATCTAAAATCACCTAGTCCGCCAACACTTAACCAAATTATTCACTTAAGCGGCAAAATAATAGCTTTTTATCGAAAAACTTCTTAGATCTAAAATAATTTCTCTTTTTCTTAAAAAAACCTCTGAGATCTAAAAATCTCATACCCACGAACTGAATCTCGTCCTAGCCAGAGCAATTGTCCCTTCCCTTGCTCTATCCCTCTCTCGTCCTCCCTCTCTGTCATTTTTTTGTGTCTAAAAACTTTGGCGGTTGTACGCAGACCATGTGTTTGATGAAATTACTGCGACGGCGCTGTGGTTGGATTTTGAAAGGGGAACTATGGGTCAGATCTTCAGTTTTCATCAGATCGTTAGCTAAAACGCCGTTTGTTGTCTCCCTCGTTCGTGCGTTCAATTTTCTTCTCAGATCTTCACATCGTTTTGGCTTCATCTCTAAACGTAAGGAAGTGTTGGGGGGGGGGGGGGGAAGGAGATGTTCTAATGTCCAAAAATTGCAGTAATACGTTATAAATCTCAAGTTCTAATGTTCTCTCCTTTGTGTTTTGCAGGTTGGGTCTGTGAAGCCTGGAGATTCGACTAGTTCTCCCGAGAATCAATTTCAAGTAGCTCAATCCAGTCCTCTTTCTCAAGGTTAATTCCCTGTTAACTGCTTATAGTTCGTCTCTTAGTTTCACCATGTGGATGAACGAAGATAAACCTGCAGATTTTTTTCTCTGCTCTCATCACAAGTCATTTGATATTAACTTCATTACACTCATGAATACAATTTTTTTTAATGAACTTATGTTGTTCGACATAATGCCTCAATGAGAATTTTTTTTCTGATTATAGTTGTTTTATGAATTAAACTTATTCGTTTATGAGAAGGAAGCTAAGGCGATGCTAAAGATAGAAAATTTGAGGGTCTTGAAACATATTTTAAAGGCCAACGAAGAAAGGAGTGAAGGTCGCTGCCAAGAAAAAGATGGTATGACCTAGATGATTTGTTTTTTTTTTTTTTCTAATTTGTAGTAAGTTTTCGAACATTCAATTATTGTGTGTTTCTATTTTAAATGTTGAGTTTTTTTTTTCCTGTGCTTTGCTTGATTTTGATGCAAACTTGATATTTCGATTAACACTTTTCTGGATGTGAAGGAGTTCGATAAGAGAGCAAGTTTTGGCTTCATTGTTGCCGAATTCAACAGGGACTTGTTATTTTTCAGTCTCAGGAGAAGCTAATTTGAATGTAACTATATCCTTTGACAAGTTTATGCTCTAACTAGCTAGTGTGCAGTTTTTTTTTTTTTTTACTTAATTAAACTCCTAACTAGGTACAGAGTGCAAAAATATATTTCTTTTCTTGACCAACCATAATATTTACTTTGCAGGAGCATCGAGCAGAGTTGGAAAACTAGACCAACCATAATTTTTGTTGAATTATCAATCTCAGGCCATGAAAGGTTCTTTCTATGACTTCTAAGTATCTCTAAAAACGTTTGTTGATGCTTCCGAAGAGTTAAAGCTCTTAGATGATAATGGAGAGCTTGGAAATAAACTCATTGTCTGTCATTTATATACTACTTTCTAAGTTTGAGTTTAATTTTCCTAAAGGTCTTGGTTTTGCTCATTTATGTTTGTTTAGTACATACAAGTGAGAAGGAAGGTGTTTAGGAGAAGGAGCTTGCATGTGGCTGCAGGAGCTTAAGTGGTAAGACGTTTTTTCAAGTTTTAAACTCCCTATTAGCTTAATTCTATGGCTATCATGATTATGTCCATGCTAACCAAGTACGTAGTATACATATGTGTATGTTTGGTAGATGCATTCCCATGTGTCGATTTCTTTTTTCATCTTAGTGAATAAGAGTTCTAAGATGGTCTTTTGTCTTCTTGTTCTTTTGTCATTTACTTGAAACCTCTTTATTTTACTAGCTTATGGTTCTTGTTTCAGTTGTGTTATCTTAATCATGACGTGACTCAATAGTTCTTCATGAAGTGTCGTCACTCAAAAATCTTTTGTTTCATGTAGCCTATGGACGGGAGTTCTAATAGGAACAATTGATGAGGAGGTGAAATAGATAGAGGGGAAGAAATTGAAGAGATTGAAGTTTGTCTCTTTCCTTATGATGTTAGTATAAGACTTGGTGTTATGTAAGACTTGTTTGACTAATTAGTTAATGTAATATTATTTGTTGATGATTTATAAAATAGAAAAGTTATATATATGTCCAATTAAGTAAATTTTATAAAATTGGATTCCAATATAAAATTTATTTTATAAAATAAATTAATTTATATAACGAAAATATGTTACGACAGTATATAAAACAGCACTAAACGTGTGTAATAACAAAGTATATTATAGCATTCGACTAATGCTATTATACGAAAATGCTATCGTAAGTGGGGGTCTACCGTAGGGTGCTAAAAACGCTATCGTATGTGGGGATCTACCATAACAGGGGCATAAGACAGCGTTTATGAAAACGCTATTGATGACATATAATAGCTCTTCTCTCTTGCTAATAATGTACATATTTCTTGTAGTGAAGCAAGCGTTGTGGCTTTCCTCAAGTCTCCGTCGATTTCTCTTCTTATCGAAAGAGAATGGGCCAAATTTCAAGCCCAATGGGTAGGAAGAATGGGCCGAAGTATGAAGTCACACCCAAACATAAATTAGAATAAGATAGAAAAGTTTGCTCCAAATTTTGGTGACATGGACCGTCAAGCGTATCTTACCACATGATCTATGGATTGACACAACAAAAACCTAGCTGGTTTTGGTTCTCTTTCTGTTATCTCCCTCATTATTTAGTGTTTAAAAGTCTTAATTTATTAGTTGGTCCATCATTACCAAAATACCAAGCAGACATTTTTTAAAGTTATTTCTTTAATAGCTGGCACGAGTTCTATCTACTCTGTCACTTCCACTTGGCAGTATCATACTGGTTGAAACAATTTGTGAGAAACGTCGAACTTTGTTTTTGACGGTGATCACCTACCACTGCAACTACCTAGTGTCCTAGTACAACGAAGGATGATGAAGCATGTATCGACCAAAATGATATCCAATAAGAAAATTGTGCTTTTATTTCCTATATTTGTCCTCATTAAGTCATTTTTAAGTTTTTGTTTTCGATGTTAATAGTAATTGTGTTTTTAGTTCTTTTTTTTTTTTTTCGTATTCCTATTTTTTATAGATCAAAATATTCTTACTTTTTTTTTAATTTTTTGATTTTGTTATGTATTACTGAATTTACGAAAACGTTTATAAAAACACAGAATAATATATTATATTAATTATTTTAACAGGAAAAAAAAGATTGAATTACCAAAATGATGGTGGTTTAGTGATATAGTACAAAAAATTAGTTTCTTTGTGATCTATGAAATCAAAAAATAATACGCAATTTAGCATATATATATATATATATATATTATAAACGTTTTTACGATCACCCACATTTGATTTTTAACATTCTAAAGGTATTTTTGAACTCTTCGTCTCAATGGTTTTGATTCGATATGTTATTTATCAAAATTTTAAGAACTTGACAATAGGAAAAAATGACTAAATTGCGTATTATTTTTAATTCCATAAAATTATTCTACTTTTTTTAAAGATAAAAGATAAAGTTGCAAAAATTGACTATTTTTAGAAACTTTTTTTTTAACAAAACCCAAAAAAAAAAACTTATTGATTGAGAACAAAGAACAGTAAAAATCTTGGAACCTTGGCATGCAAACTTCTCTATCTTGTAAAATCTATCTATCACTTGTCTCACTAAGTACTTTTATTACCAATATTTTCCAACAACATGACCATTATCTCCCCCAATCAAAAACAATATTACGAAACTACCCTTACCTCTTTCACTGACTGACTCGTCTCCTTCTCCACTTGGATCTCAAAATTCGATCCAAAACCAAATCCGCCATTACTCTCTCTCTCTCTCTCTCTCTCTCTCTCTCTCTCTCTCTCACTTCCCACATTCATGCCAGCAATGCCAGGTCTCGTCTCCGTCAAAACACCAGCCGATACACCGCCGCTACGTGTAGCCGTACCAGACACGCAACCTCTCTCAAACCCGCCGCGAACTCCGATGAAGAAGACTCCTTCCTCTACACCATCTCGATCCAAACCATCACCAGGTAGATCCAGCGGCAAAAAAGATTCCCCAACCGTATCCTCCTCCGCCGCAGCCGCCGCCGTTATCGACGTCGACGATCCATCTCTAGATAATCCAGATCTCGGTCCTTTCCTTCTCAAATTAGCTCGTGACGCTATTGCTTCTGGTGAAGGTCCTAATAAAGCATTAGATTACGCGATCCGAGCAACTAAATCGTTTGAGCGATGTTGCGCCGCCGTTGCTCCACCTATTCCCGGCGGTAGCGATGGCGGACCTGTTCTTGACCTAGCTATGAGTCTTCATGTTCTCGCAGCTATTTACTGTAGTCTCGGTCGATTCGATGAAGCAGTACCACCTCTTGAGCGAGCTATTCAGGTCCCTGACCCGACCCGTGGTCCTGACCACTCTCTCGCTGCGTTTTCCGGTCATATGCAACTTGGTGATACGTTGTCTATGCTTGGTCAAATCGATAGATCTATTGCTTGTTATGAAGAAGGTCTTAAGATCCAGATCCAGACTTTGGGCGATACAGATCCACGAGTTGGAGAAACTTGCAGGTTCTCTTAATTAAGCATATAATGGTTAATTAAACTCTTGAGATTCTTAATACCAATATAGTATCGGTGTTAGGTTACGTTTGCTAAAAGTTACTATTTTGGTTAGATCTAAGTTTCTGAAATTTCTGATAATTTCAGGTACTTAGCAGAAGCATATGTTCAAGCAATGCAGTTCAATAAAGCGGAAGAGTTATGCAAGAAAACTCTAGAGATTCACCGTGCGCATAGTGAACCTGCTTCACTGGAGGAGGCAGCTGATAGGAGGCTGATGGCAATCATTTGTGAGGCTAAAGGAGATTACGAAAACGCGCTCGAGCACCTTGTTCTTGCGAGTATGGCTATGATTGCGAGTGGACAAGAGTCTGAGGTTGCATCCATTGATGTTAGCATTGGGAATATTTACATGTCGTTGTGCCGGTTTGATGAAGCTGTGTTCTCTTATCAGAAGGCTCTCACTGTGTTTAAGGCTTCTAAAGGAGAGACTCATCCGACGGTTGCATCAGTGTTTGTTAGATTGGCTGAGCTTTACCATAGGACAGGGAAACTCCGTGAGTCTAAGTCTTACTGTGAGAATGCGTTGAGGATATACAACAAGCCAGTGCCTGGGACAACTGTGGAGGAGATTGCTGGTGGATTAACAGAGATTTCTGCGATTTATGAGTCTGTGGATGAACCTGAGGAAGCATTGAAGTTACTTCAGAAGTCGATGAAATTGCTCGAGGATAAACCAGGACAGCAGAGCGCCATTGCAGGTAAAACTTATTTAAAACCATGAATGTTCTTTTAGCTGGATTGTTATTGCAGTGTGTTTGAAATTGTGCGATTTTGGTCTCATATTGGGTTTGAAGTAGTGATCTTTGTGTTGTCACCCATATAAGTAAAAGCCGCTTGAATTAACGTTACTGGTTTTGCTTGGCTTGAATCTACCTGGTTTAGGCTTACCCTAATTATTAGTGTGTTAAGCATCTGATTGCCTATCTGGGCTTTAGTATATGGAAGTAGATTGTGACAGACAAGAAAATGAATCTACATACGAGTTTTCAGCTATATAAGCATCATATTTTCAATTCTCTACAAGCTTCCTTTACATTAGTTTGGCTTTGTATGTAAATACTTGCAGGCTTAGAGGCACGGATGGGAGTTATGTATTACACGTTGGGGAGGTACGAGGACGCAAGAAATGCGTTTGAGAGCGCTGTGACAAAGCTACGTGCAGCAGGTGAGAAATCTGCCTTCTTCGGAGTTGTATTAAACCAGATGGGACTAGCCTGCGTTCAGCTTTTCAAGATTGATGAGGCGGGTGAGCTGTTTGAAGAAGCAAGAGGGATTCTTGAACAAGAACGTGGACCATGCGATCAAGACACTCTCGGCGTTTACAGCAATTTGGCTGCCACCTATGACGCCATGGGAAGGTAATTTATTAAAGAAAACTATCTGACATAACACTGATGATGTACTGGTTTACCAAAACCAGAATCACACAACTGGTTTGGGTCAAAATGTGTGAACTTGATGGGTTTCTTTACCTAAACTGGAATCGAAACCCGGTTGATACGATATGAAAACTCGGAATGCCCAACTGGGTTTGGTTCAGTTTGGATTGGTTAAATTAGATTAGACATCCTTAATAAAAACTACTGAACAAAAACATTAAAGACTTTCTTTGTGATGGCTATGTAATTTGCAGGATAGAGGATGCGATAGAGATATTAGAGCAGGTTCTGAAGCTGAGAGAGGAAAAGCTCGGGACTGCGAATCCGGATTTTGAGGACGAGAAGAAACGTTTGGCCGAGCTTTTGAAGGAAGCTGGGCGGTCGCGGAATTACAAAGCCAAGTCGCTCCAGAATCTGATTGATCCAAACGCAAGACCTCCAAAGAAAGAGTCTTCGGCTAAGAAATGGCCCAGCCTCGGTTTCAAGTTCTGAGAAAAAAGTATCATATATAATAAATCATCCACATATATATTCAATATTTTATTTTATTATTGTTATCATTTTTATCTGATCTGTTTTCTGTATCATAATTCTGAGGTTGATGAATTAATTTCATGTATAGTGTTTTTATTTGAGTTTGGTGAAATACTGCCAAGGTGTTGAGCTGTTTGTTTGAGTTTGAGAATTTCATTAAATCAATCACTTTTTTCTTTCTTCCGATAATTTTATTTTTCATGAATGTTTGCGTCGTGATATTTTGTACGAATATGAAGTAAAATGCCCCGTTATAAATTTTACATTTCAAAATATAATTTTCTTCGTGATATAATTTGTACGAATGTGAAGTAAAATGTGAAAAAATCTATCACCAAATGCATTTTGAAAATGTATTATTGGATGTGTCATTTAATATTTTGTGAAAAAATCAATTAAATTTAGTAGTAATAACTAATAAATTACATAAATAACAAAGAACTTAACAAAATTAAAAGTAAAAAAGTAAAGAAAATTATCAATAGAAATTAATGAATTAAATGAAAAAAAAATCTTTAAAAAATCTTTTGAAGATCTAATTCCGAAATGAAGGAGTTAAAAATGGAGAAAAAGAGAGAAGATTTTCAATAAATTTGAAAGACTATTTTATCCTTTTAAAATTAAAATTTCATATGTTTAATACTCTTATAGTAAAAAAAAAAAAGAAGGAAAAACTTGCAATATCACATATGAAAATTTTATAATTTATGATAACTTTATAATATTATGAAAATTTGCCTATTTATAAGTTAAAATTAAATAGTAAATTGAATAAGATTTAATTAATCTATATGTGAATAATTATAATAAAGATTACAACCTTATTTTCCCATTTGACAAATGGTTAACACACATAACATAATTCATAACTGTAAGATCTCATTAGATTTAATTTGCA